TCTCTGCAGAGGCTGGGCAGGCGGGTGCCCTGGGTACATGCACAGGGGACAGGGCACCTCTGGTCTCTGCAGAGGCTGGGCAGGCGGGTGCCCTGGGTACATGCACAGGGGACAGGGCACCTCTGGTCTCTGCAGAGGCTGGGCAGGCGGGTGCCCTGGGTACATGCACAGGGGACAGGGCACCTCTGGTCTCTGCAGCGGCTGGGCAGGCGGGTGCCCTGGGTACATGCACAGGGGACAGGGCACCTCTGGTCTCTGCAGCGGCTGCACGGGCAGGAGTCCCAGCTGGGGCAGTTGGTGGAGCGAGGCTGCTCCGTGCAAGTGAGGGCAGCGAGTGTGACCCTATCGTTTCTCAGGGAGTCTGGCATTGCTGCAGCTCACGCGGCATCAGCACCCGAGTACCCTACCCAGCCCAGCCCAGCCTCTAGCTACCAGCCCTCACTGCCTGTGCTGGGACCGGGCAGGGTCTGAGTGACACATATATAAATGTGAGTCAACAGTGTGACACTGTTGCAAAAAAAGCGAACATCATTCTGGGCTGTATTAGCAGGAGTGTTGTAAGCAAGACACGAGAAGTCATTCTTCCACTCTACTCCGCACTGGTTAGGCCTCAGCTGGAGTATTGTGTCCAGTTCTGGGCGCCACATTTCAGGAAGGATGTGAACAAATTGGAGAAAATCCAGAGAAGAGCAACAAAAATTATTAAAGGTTTAGAAAACATGACCTATGAGGAGAGATTGAAAAAATTGGGTATGTTTAGTCTGGAGAAGAGAAGACTGAGAGGGGGCATGAGAACAGTTTTCAAGTATATAGAAGGTTTCTACAAGGAGGAGGGAGAAGAATTGTTCTTAACCTCTGAGGACAGGACAAGAAGCAATGGGAGGTTTAGGTTGGACATTAGGAAAAACTTCCTCACTGTCAGGGTGGTTAAGCCCTGGGATAAATTGCCCAGGGAGGTTGTGGAATCTCCCTCATTGGAGATGTTTAAGAGCAGGTTGGACAAACCCCTGTCAGGGATGGTCTAGATAATACTCAGTCCTGCCAGGAGTGCAGGGGACAGGGCTAGATGGTCTCTCGAGGTCCTTTCCAGTGCTACGATTCTGGGATGACTCCAGGTTGCTGAGCACAGAGCCGGGCACAGGGAAAGGCTGGCACCCACCCTGAGGCTGTTACTGAATGTGGCTCGCCTGGCGGCCCAACCGAGGCTGCACCACCCACAGTCAGCGGCTCCAGCCCCTTCCTCCCGGCTGCATTCCCTCTCAGTGCTGCTGCCCATCGGCCTCTCTCTGACTGTCCCTGCAGGTGGCTGACGACGGATACGGCGTCTCTTACATCATTGCTGGCGAGAACCTGATCACCTTCCACATCTCCAGCAAGTTCTCCAGCCCCGAAACGGTCAGAGTCCCCCTCAGGCCTGGCTGGGCACAGACTGCCTGGCCGATAGGTGCCGGGCTAGGAACCCCTCCCGGGCCTCGTGGCCCATCAGCTTTTGTGGCTCTCCCTAGGAGAGGAGCCCTGGGGTACACGTAGCCAGCTGGAGGGCAGCCCTGAGGGGACACCGGGTCTGAGAGCCCTCCCCTGGGGCCCGCTGTCCTTTAGCTATGGGAATTGGCAGTGTGGGTCAGCCCCAGGGGCCCATTTCGCCCCCTCTCTGATGAGCCAGGACCAGGACCTTTGGAGGGAGGGGCAAGGATTCTGGAATAATGTGCCCTGGGAGAAGTTTCAGAGTCTCCCAGCCTGTTCAGTTGTTGGCTGGCTCATACCTGTTGCCAGGTCTTCCCTTCTGCGTTCATCTAAGCAGGGATGTTCCTGTTACCCAGGCCAATGCCTGGCCCTTGTTTGAACCTCACTACGTCGTACTCTCTCTGGCATCTTGTGGCAGTGAGTTCCACGGGTTAACTATAACATGGTGTAAGAAAAGCATTTCCTTTGATCTGTGTAAATGTGCTGCCTGTTGGTGCCCTTGTGTGTCTCCTGGCTCCTCTGTTTTGGGACAGCACATGAGAGTGCCCTGCCCTCCATTTCTGTCCCTTCAGCATTTCCTACCTCTGGCACATTGCCTCTTTTTCAGCTCCTGTCTAAACAGCCAGGCTGTCCAGCCGCTATGGGATCTTGCCACCTGTCCCTGCCCCTCGATCCCTGCGGTTCCCTATCAGATCAGGGAGCATGGCCTGGCTCGCTGTAGCTCCTTTCCTGGCCCTGCAGTCTGTGGGCATTGTCCCTGTGACTCGCCTGGGGGCCAGATCTCCCTGCTGTCCCCGCAGACATCTGTTGTGGCTGCTGTGCATGGGGTGGGTGCAGCCGTGGGGGCTGGGTTAGGGTCAAGCCTGCTGTCTGGGGCATGGGAGCGCCAGTCAGGCTCTCCCCACAGTGCACACTGGCCGAGGGTCAGGAGGGGTGTGCAGATCACTCACTGAGGGGGGCTTGGAAGCAGCGGTTGCAGGACCGGCCTCGCCCTGTAGCTGATGTGTGTGCGGGGGTGGGGGAGCTGTGTCGGGGCCTGGCCCTCGTCCCTGTCCTGCTGTAGCACCCCCACTTCCAGAGCAGGATGGGCCCCTCCACATCCCGCAGCCCCCCGCCCCCCAATGCCATGGGCCTGAGAACACTGCCCACCTGGGGCTTCTCAAGCTGCCCCCCGCCGCTCCTGCCCCTGCTAAGCCACGACTCTAGCTGGGACCCATGTTAACCAGTTCCCGTCTCCTCTCCCACCCCAGGACTCCAGACGGTTCGGGAGGAACATCCGCCAGGCCATGCTGGACATCGCAGACCTCTTCAACGTTCCTGCCAACAAGGTGGCCAACTGACCCCGCGCCATGGGAGGAGCGACGGCCCCTGTGCCGGAGACGCATGAGGCTGGCCCCAGGGCGGAGGGCTTGGCCCCAGAACACCGGGCGAGCTGCTGGGGCTGCCCCTCCGGTGCCAGCGCTCGCCCTGCGGTGGGTCCCTGCCAGTCAGAGCCCGCCCAGCCAGCCACGGGGACCTGGGGACGCACAAAGCCGTGGGAGCGGGTGCGGGAGATTTCCTCCCTCAATGTTACCGATAAAGAAGGCTCTTTGTGTAATGCCAACCTGGCTGCCGGGTGATGGACTCCGCCCGGAACTGGGGGGGACAGACAGAGGGAAGCTCCTGGGGAAAGGTGGGCAAGCATCCCCCACGCCACGGGCCAGGGAATGAGAGTCGGGGAACATGGCCAGCCCGGGCCTAGCTACCACGTCCTGATGGCCAAGGGGAGTCCGGGCCTGTCCGAGAGGGGAGGGAACGGGGCGGTAGATTCTGGCTGGGCTCGTGGCTGGGCCTTTGCGAAGGAAGCCAGTGGAAGTCTGGTCTAAATGGGACCTGGCTGGGCTTGGGGTGGGGGATGGGGTGGGGGATGGGGTGAGTGGGGCTCGTGGCTGGGTGTAGGGGGTCAAGTGGGGTGGGGATGGGGTGACGGGG